GTTAGGTAGAAATGGTATATTTTTCTTAGGATACTGAATAGTTCCTAGATGGAAAATATTGTATTTTCTACATATTATATATTTGTTCCTTCATATAAAATATTAAATGTATTTATATACTTATGTATTGTAATTTTTTTTAAATCTTTGTTCGGCAAAGTTTCGCAATTATTTTTAATACCTAAAGATGGATTTTTCTATTCATTTTAGGAAATATTTACAGAAATGTAGCTTTGTTTTTTTTCCACATGACCGAAGGAAAATTGCATGTGTTGAAATTGCATTTCACACATAGACCATGTTTTCACATTACATTATTATATGTAAAATCATTATTTCTTAATTACCATGAATCATACCCAAATAATGTGTATTATAGCTCGTCTTAAAATGAATGAATTATTATGATTTGCTGATATTACATTGTCCATATTAATGTTCCATAGATTATAAATGCAGATACCCCAATGTACATGTCATTATCGATAATATGTGTTTTCGCGATTATATATTGAAAGGTATCGGCGATATTATATTATAAATCATCATAAGAGAAGACGATTCGACAAATTTCCTGAACGTCTTCAAGGCGTCTCGATACAATTCAAGAAGGTGATTCGATACAATTCAAAGGGGTTATTTGATACAATTCAAAGAGGTGATTCGATACAACACCACACAGAGAGAGGGACGCTGGGCTTGTGAAGGGTGGGCGTGTTGTAACTGTTGAAAAAAAGAAGAAATAAATTTAATATAATACATCAAATGTCAGTTATTTTCTGACAGGGGAATTAAGTTTTCCTTGGGGGAGGAAGAAGAGGAGATGATCACGTGGGATTTCATTATTAGGAAAAAGCCCTTAGTTGGAGATTTGGAGATATTGGATTAATGGTAGAAGATGTCAGCTGTGGACCTTTGGATGTCAGCTGTGGACATTTGGGAAATGAAGAATTGGATAATCATGATTTATTATATTATATTTTTCTTAATGGATAGATATTAGATTGTTGTTTTTTTTAATGAATAAATTTGGGTCGTCTTATTATGAAATATGGTTTGTTTTACTTTAAATCTACGACACATAACATTCCACTGTTTTTATTTACGTTAATTTTTTTTTTTACTTAACTCTAATTAAATTTTACTTTTATTAAAAAAATTAATTAAAGTTATTCACCTTAAAAAAAATAAAAATTGATATATTATATTATTTAGTAATTTTATGGATCTATTAATAGTAATTATAATAAATTTCATTTTTCCAGTGGCGTCTCAAGGGGGGAATGGGGGCGCGGGGGCTCGAGCCCCCTGAAGCAAAAAAATTTTTTTTAATGGCTCCTTAATATCCCCTTGAACTAAAAATAAATTTTTTTGATTGCCCACTGAATGATTTCTTTTATAATTCCATTAAGTAATATATAGATATAATTTTATTATTTAGAAATTAATAAGACTATTTAAATTTTTATTAAATGAATATTATTTTAATTATTAAGATTAGATTAATACATATAAATGATCTTTTCACTATGTCAGCTTGCAATCAAATTCTGTATTAAAAACATAATATCAATAACTAACTAAATATTAATTTAGCTTTAACAGTTGAAGTTTAATTGACTTTTATTATTTAAATAATTATTTAACCAATGACATAATGTCATTGTATTTAACCCTGATTAAATAAATATAATCATATATTATTTGAAAATTAACAAATTTAATATTGTAATTAGCCGAGTTCAAAATGAATAATCAACTGTATATATATTTTTAAATTTTATTATCATACCTTAAAGATATTTTCAAGGTCCAAATAAGTATAAGAGATCTCTTTATAAAAAGTAAGTAGACATATAGTTTATAATTATCTACTATATACAGTTGTTTATAAATTATCAGATATAATGCCCCTTTTATAGACGTATTTGACAGTTATATAATATATTACAGTTAATATTATAATAAATGGTTTTGATAAAAAATATAATAACAAATTGCATTTAAGTATTTAACGCCATCTATTTAGTTATAAATAATTTTTAAAATTAAACATTTTATTATTCATCCTGCAATAGATGTAATAAATTTGATATCTTTTCTTCTCTTTTTTTACGTGTTTTTAGGAAAGCTCATTTTCGAAAAACAGTCTTGAGTTAAATTTTTAATACAAGTATATTTTTGATATTATTACAAACTACTAGTATTTTAAGATATAATATACCAAGGTGGTGCGACAATATATAAAATCTTAATTGTTTCATCATATCATTCTGGTCCTTATTTTATAGTTAGAAAATGTTTCATTTCTAATATGGCATTGCCGTGTAAATAACTCCAGGTTTCAATATATTTGCATAATTATTTCTTCCAAAGATTTTTAGTGTTTTTATTTTATCAATTTTTCCAACATAATAAATTCTGATATTAGTTTACATCGTGAGTGTCATGGCTATTACTGAAAATTAACCAGCATCTATTATTTGTGCTGCTATGTAATTTAAGATTATTACTATAACGGCTGAGAGCATATAATTGCATATTTTAGATAAACAATAATGGTCAACTGTGTAGTCGTTTATATATCATTTAAAATGGAAGATAATCTTTTAGAAATTTAATATCTCACATAAATTTCTCGATTACTTATCTAGCTTCCATAATGTCATCTAAGAGGAAGCTCTAACCACCATATAGTTTTATGATTTGGATTGGTCGTTTATACTCTCTCCTACAAAAATTGTTGATTAGGTTTATGCCTATAAATTTTTCCTTATTAGTCCATTCTATAAAACATTGTCTAAAATGGTTACAGAGATTTATACTAGTTTGATAACCTTTTGTCAATATAAGTGCTAAGAATTATATTATTGCAATATGTGATTTTTTATATGCCAGTTTATTTTGTATGCATAATATAATAAATGACAAAATTTAAAAATCAGATTAATTGTTCAGTGTTAACAAATTTTAAAAAAGTAAAAAAGTATAATATATTTTATCCGCAAATTAGGGGGTATGGGGGGAGGCGAAGTCCCCCATAATTTTTTTTTAGTTGAGTTTCCTGAGAGTGTGAAGGCTAGCGACGCCCCTGCTCTATAAGATAGATAGTAAGAAAGATAGATAGATAGATAGATAGATAGATAGATAGATAGATAGATAGATAGATAGATAGATAGATAGATAGATAGATAGATAGATAGATAGATAGATAGATAGATAGATAGATAGATAGATAGATAGATAGATAGATAGATAGATAGATAGATAGATAGATAGATAGATAGATAGATAGATAGATAGATAGATAGATAGATAGATAGATAGATAGATAGATAGATAGATAGATAGATAGATAGATAGATAGATAGATAGATAGATAGATAGATAGATAGATAGATAGATAGATAGATAGATAGATAGATAGATAGATAGATAGATAGATAGATAGATAGATAGATAGATAGATAGATAGATAAGATAGATAGATAGATAGATAGATAGATAGATAGATAGATAGATAGATAGATAGATAGATAGACAGATAGATAGATAGATAGATAGATAGATAGATAGATAGATAGATAGATAGATAGATAGATAGATAGATAATAGATAGATAGATAGATAGATAGATAGATAGATAGAAAGATAGATAGATATATTTTTTTATATATGAATAAATTAAATGTAACTCCAAAGAATATAATTAGCAATTTATCTAATATTTTTTAATTTGTAGGATTGTTAACACTCATGATAGTGAAGAATGTAGTGATAGGAAAATTATGGAAATAAGTTCCCTTGAATCAAATCTCAATCTTAAAATTTTAGATGTAAACGTTTTTAAATAATTCAAGTCAAATGAATATGTATAATGTCAAACCTATAAACACAAAAAAAATGATAAAGGGTTTAACATAATCCTCTAGATATATATTGATTTTTTTTAAAATTAGAAATATCATTTTTGACATTTATACCCGATATAAAGCAAACTATACCATAATATAAAAAAATTAACCCGTATATTTGCTTGATTTAATGCCATTAATAAAATAAAACCAATATTTATACAAAATTAAATTGAAATGGAGTAATGGAAAAATGTATAAAATTATGGAAAGCAAGCGGAAGGTTCAAATCTTCTGAAAAGATAAGGGAGATAATAAGTGGTAATCCGCTAAAATTTCCATTGCAATATTGTTTACCTTTATTGAAAGTTGTCCCAGATGGAATTGACAAAAGATTGGGATTTTCTTCTTCTAATGATAATAAATATAACGAAGCTTTTTGGCATTATTATCACTATATTTTAAGATTCGAATTGTCGGATGATAAAAAAAAATACTTTTTTATTATTAAAAGAAACCCTATATATAGTACCAGTAGTATATAATCAATCTCAAACTATAACACCAAGATTTAATATCTAATAATATGGAAACTGTTGATCATTTTTTTTTTGGTGAAACAAATTTTGCTGAATTCAATAATGCAAATAACATTGAAATGAAAAATTAAAATTATTTTAAAGATCGTCGAAATACATTAGAAATGCTTACTAATTAACCTTCCAATAAAATTTTTTTAAAATATATTACTGCAATATCTTAATCAGCTCCATAGTTGAGCCCCCTGAGATTGTAAAGGCTAGCGATGCCCCTGCATTTTTTTCTTAAGACTTATCTTTGGCTTATATTTCATTTCTTAAAAACATTTTTGGTTTCACATTTTTACATATAAACGCTTTTTTCCAAAAAAGTATAAATTATAGTCAATAACTTAAGTTAAAAAAATATTAAATTTTACAATCTTTCTTTCAAATTATTGTTTAAGATATATGCATTCATTTTTGGGTGACAGGGGCTTGGGAGAGGACTAAGGAGGTTATTTAGCTAAAAATGATATTCACAAAAAGTGATAAATTTATATAGGGGGGTATTTTCCTTTGTCCACTACTTTAGCTATGCCTATGATCGACATCAATTATATGGTATATTTATCAAGGTGTATTTTTTAAATATTTTTCTATAAAATTAGCATGTTTGATGCCGATTTTAGTTAACATCTATCCTTATCATACCGGAAAATAATGTCTGAACTTCAGAAAAGACACCCCAAACGTAAAATAGGAAGGTAATATTATAATTTATGATTTATATTCAATAGATCTCCTTTTATATTAAGACTTTATGCAAAGGCGGTTTTTACAGGATTTAAAAGAAGTCTAAGAAATCAAAGAGAACATACTTCTTTACTACGTATTGAAGGTGTGTTTAAAAGAGACGATACAAAATTTTACATAGGGAAAAAATGTGCATTTGTTTACAAAGCTAAAAAGTATTTTTTTTTAAAAAATACTTATAAAATAAATATTTTAGAAACTCTGGAAATAAATCTAAATCTTATAAAGCCATATGGGGGAAGGTAACTAGACCACATGGTGTAAGTGGTGCTGTCAGAGCGAAGTTTAGAAAAAATTTACCACCTCAAGCTATGGGTAAAAGAATTAGAATAGTAACTATTTTACTTAATTAAACATTTATTTTATTTTAGATGCTCTATCCATCAAATATATAAATAATTATATTATTTCTTATGCATGGCAAACTTTATTTTGATCTAATAAACTATATTTGGATTATGATAATTATTTTATATTCACATGATGTATTTAGTCATAGTTATATATTTTCATCATGGGTTGTCATACCTCAGAATTTTGGTGTAAACCTTATGATTTTTCTTGTTATACCAAAATATGCCATTTATTGCATTTTCATAGTTTTTTATTAAGAAATTTTTATTCTAATTTTCTAAAAAAATATATACAGCACTTAAAAATTAGCTTAACTAGTTAATTACACTGCCATTTTTATTTTAATTAAATCATTAAAAAAACATTTTTGTTTTATTTATCATCTATACCTTGAAAAGAAATGACAAAAACTTGTGTATTAATAAAAATAATTTAGCTTTATAATTTAATACTGAAAACAAATTATGCAAAATCATGAATAATTACTGATGATGAAAATGATTATTATGTAAGTATTAAATATTATTTTTAAAATTCAATCTATGTAATGGGCTTTATAAGCAATTATGCATCTTTTAATATTTAAAAAATTTACACTTTTATATAGCTTAAGGCTCTATTCATACAGCGCTTAAAAATTAGCTTAACTAGTTAATTACACTGCCATTTATATTTTAATTAAATCTTTCATTAAAAAAACATTGTTTTTGTTTTATTTATCATCTATACCTTGAAAAGAAATGACAAAAACTTGTGTATTATTAAAAACAATTTAGCTTTATAATTTAATACTGAAAACAAATTATGCAATGAATAATTACTGATGATGAAAATGATTATTATGTAAGTATTAAATATTATTTTTAAAATTCAATCTATGTAATGGGTTTAAGCAATTATGCATCTTTTAATATTTAAAAAATTTACACTTTTATATAGCTTAAGGCTCTATTCATAGTAGCACAGATCTGATTTTATGTCAAAACATTTTATTTGATATCTTACGAAGGTAGTTATTTTGGCTTATAACAAATTAAACCTTGTTGTATGCATTGAAATAAATCAATATTCATTTGTAAAATTATTGATCATATATAAAATGCCATATAAAACACAAAAAATACTAAACAATAAAAATATTTAGTCTATTACAAATTACATATGTATAGAGCCATGCAAAGTTATTTTCTTGGCCTGGCCCTAACCTGAATTTAAAATTTGCTGCCTGACCCAAGTACAAATTTTTTGTTCCAGCCTAACCTGAGTTAATTTAAAAAAAATTGAGTTTTAATATTTAAGGGAAAAAATATGCATGTTTATTATTCACATATTGTCACCTTAAATATAAGTATAGTTAAGCCTCCATATGACTCATCAATTGCCAAATAAAATGCAAAACTGAGTATAAAATTTTATCTAATTTTATAAATAATGAACATATTAAATACACGTCAATATGATCATAATATGAATAACTATAATATATAATTAATTAGGGATATGTTGATATCTTTTATATGGTTGCTCAAATTTTTCATCTTTTTAAAGATCTTGGCTAGTATTAATAAATTTGCCTATTAAATAAGGCTTCAGCTTTATTACCAAATCAGTGCATTAAAAAATAAATTGGAGAGAATACATTAATTGATACCTTATTCCATTTGTAGAATTACTTATAAAAGAACTTACTGATCAACTCAAGCATCATACAAGTTATGAATGTTGCAATATATAAAAATCACTGTTTTTATTATATTTATAATGGAAAAATTTATTTCCTATCAACAATTTTTGGATATCCACTTTAAACCAATCTTTTTTTTCCCAATTTTATCAATGCTTTGACAAACAATTTTTAGAATGCATTAACATCAACTTTTGTGAAGAAAATTTAGTTTATATATTGTTTTTTATTATTTATATAATATAGAAAATCATATGGACTTAAAAAAATTACATTAATATCAATAACTAACTGGCATATTTAGTTTGTTGGGATCGTTATATAATTAAATATGTATGAAGAACACGTTCAGATGAAATTGGATTGGGGCCTCCAAAAAGTGGTATTGATACACCCCTATAAATAATGATAAATCAAGCTTGTCAGACTTTAAGCATATACCTTAAAACACTTAATGGTGATATATGTAAGTAATAGAGTTTTAACTAGTGTTGTTAAATGGCTAAGGTAAACTGGCTTAACCCTAAACTCAGCCAGTTTTTGAATCGAAATTTGGCTTAGGCTCAAACCGATTTTTGAGCCGAAATTAATTTAGGCTTAACCCTAAGTCGAAAATTGAATCTGGCTCAAGCCGCCTTATTAGTTGGCTGGCTCGAGTAGACTCAAGCCACCTCAAATGGCTGAGCCAAGCCTACCCTAAACTCAGCTTGTTTTTGAATCTAAAATTGACTCAGGCTTTTGTTGGCTTTATTAAATATATTATTATATATTTGGTTTATTTTGGCCTATAATATAATAAATTAAATATTTCAATTTAAAAGTAAGTGAAGATAACTAGTGGCTATTTCACTTGTATCTAAGATACAAGATCCTTTTGTATCTTGTACTCAGTGTTTTATTGACATTTTTAATAAGATACTAGTATCTGTATCTAAGATAATTTTGAAATGAATCTTGTATCTTTTTCATTTTCTTTAAAAAGATACAGATAGCATTAATTATTATTCATTTATCTTTAAAACATGTAAATAAAAAATGAATATATATATTAAAAGTGAATGTATATTTTAAAAATATCGATGGCTCTAAAAAGAGCTTATAGTAAAAATGTTCCTAAAAAACAGGTATAATTATGTTTAAAAATTTCTAATTGGAGTTTTTGTTTAAGAAAAATTGATTTTTGTAATGTTATAAATTTTACATGCTAAGATTTTTTTTAAAAAATATGTTGATTGTAAGAAATTGCCATTAGTTGAAATGACTATGGGTTGAAAAATAAAGTTATTGAGTATTTATTAATTTTTTTATTTTCCCCGCTAGTAAGAGGGTTTGAATTAATTGATGAGGGAAAGGAAGAGACGCAGGTTGCGTCCCAAATTAAGGATTTCCCATTGGACCATGGGGTGCAGGTTAAACCGTCAGGTCTGAGACCATCTTGTAAAGAGAGGTTTGTTGGTTCTAGGATGTTAGGTATTTTAGCTTTATTAAGAGCGTTATGGATGATTTTATTTATAGCTTTATGCCGGAGGCATGTTTAAAACATTTACATATCACACAATGCAACTTTATTCTCTTCGTGAAATCTTGTATTATTTTTATTTTTTCCTGCTATATTTTAAATATATTGATAACCAAAATTAGTTGTAAATTTTACAGATCACATAGATAGATAGCAGTGTGGTAAAATTGCTTGGTTGGATCGAAGTAGCATGATTTTGGTTGGGTTTTTGGTCGAAAAAATGAACCAAAAATAAAGCAACCAAGTTGGTCGACCAAATCCATCGACCCAATTTATTTTATATAAATAAAAACATGATATTATTTAATATTTTTATTTATTTAATATTGAAATTTCAAATTTTAATTATTTTTTATTTTACTATGAAATTGATGTTTTTTAATAAAAAAAATGTATAATTATATCATTTTATTAACAATAAATTTGTGATTTTCACGCCCAAAATTTTAAGCAATTGTTAATTTGATGAGAATTTTAAATTTTATAAATAAAACTTTTTTGAGAAATTTTTTTGTGAATTTTAATATAAATAAACAATCTTTTAGATAATGAAATATTTTATAGTTTTTTTTTATCATTTTTCTGAAATTATTTCTTAAGTATATTAAAGGAAGTTGTAATTTCTAAATAATTTATTAAGCATGCTTAAATAAAATTTCAGGGAAGATGTACCCTCTAGATAAGTGACAATTGTCATAATCGTTATTTTAGTGTTTTTGAATTTTTTTTGTCGCAAATTGGAAATAATAAATATTAAAAACAAATTTAAATAAAACTTCAGTCAATATGTTCCCTGGATAAGTGACAATTGTCATAATCGTTAATTTTAAAGTTTTTTGAGAACCGACCAGAGAATAGACCCGAGCACAACTTATATTATTTTATTGTGACTGAATGTGAATATTTTGCTGAATTGTATTTTGCAAAGAGGACGAATATATCAATATTAGCATAGAAATATTCATATATAATATTAGATTCCTTTTTCAAAAATTGTTCCTTTCATCGACCCGAGCATGGACCGGATCACTTACTCCAAACCAACCTATTATATTAGTTTAATATAAATATTTTGCGCAATCATATTTTTATATTTAGAAGACGAATATTTCAATATTATCATGAAAAATAATCATATTTATTTAAAATTATATACTTTTTAAAAAAAAATTGTTCTCTTCTTATAATCTATAAATTAAAAATTAGAGACCGAGTAATTCAATTCCTTATTAATTATTGATATCGAATTAGAAATAATTATCTTCTAAGACCGGTTATTATAGGAATTTATCGATTTTTAGATATGTATAATTCATATATCATCAAATGAGGGTATTAAATCTTTTTTAATAATTTTTGGGATCTCTAAAATTATAAAAATTGGCTAAGACTTAAACCGATTAGATGAGTTGGTTCAGTAGTTGACAGTTAAACAACGATATCTTTTGAGTTTTGATAATCATTTTTATTTATAGATAGGGGCCATTAAATTACAAATAAACAATATAGACTAATTATAATCACTTAACAAACACGATATTTTTTTTTAACAAAACAATTATTTCTTTTTTTAGGGGTGTACCGATATTTCCTGAGCACCAACCAGAGTTATATTAGTGAACTGGTTAATATTTTGATCAATTATATTTTTATGCATAGAGGACGAATATTTCAATATTAACATAAATATTCATATTTATTATTTAATATTTTATTCCTTTTTTAAAAATGGTTCTTTTCATCGTCCCGAGCACCGACCAGAGAATCAACTTATATTATTTTATTGTGAACAACTGAATGTTAATATTTTGCTAAATTATATTTTTAAGCTTAGAGGACGAATATTTCAATATTAATAGAAAAATTCATATTTATTATTTATTTGATTCCTTTTTTAAAAATGGTTTT